GGCACCCCAAAGGTCCGCATCAACGACCCCTACTACGAAATTAACAGGTACACATACAGTACATACACATAGCACAGAGGTAACCGAAACGGATGCTCTGGTAATGGCGGTGCAAACCGCTCCCCAGAACACCGATATCGCGGTTAAGAACCAGTTATCCAGCTATACATCACCACCAACGTCGAATAACGCTAAACGAGTATGCCCCGACAAAATTCCGACCCCCGCGGTCGAACTCGAATTTAGGTCAGGCCCCGTGACAGCTCTACTCGACTCCCAAGCACAAAAATCGTATGTAAGCCCGAACACCGCACAAAAATTTGGCACCCCCCACCACGGACAACAAACTCAGGTACGAATGGCGGATGGTCACACCACATTGACAAGTGGTACCTCCACATTCGTAGCCAGAATCGGAGACCTCACGGTCACCTTCAACGCAGCCATTCTGGACAATTTATACTGCGACATGCTCCTAGGTCACGACTTTCTCGTACAAAACGAAGTCACCTGGGACTACACAACGAGCACTATTCATTTAGGTTCGAATAGGAGAACAACAGCGTGCTGGAAAGGTCGGATACCCACCCCCAGCCCAGCACTAGATGTCGACAAATTAACAATAAACGGTGACCACCACACACGCGCGAAACTCGCCGAAGTAGTACGTAACTATCCGGACGTATTCAACGGTAGGGTAGGCCGCACCAGGTTAATAGAACACGACATCCTCCTCAAAAACCACACACCCATAGCCCTCAAACCATATCCCTATCCACCGGTAAAACAGGCCATAATCGATACCATGATACGGGACATGGAGGAGCAGGGACTGGTAGAACAAAGCACATCCCCGTGGGCCGCACCCATCGTCTTAGCAAAAAAGAAAGACGGCTCACCCCGACTGTGCATTGATTATAGGCGGCTCAATGACATCACTGAGTCCGACGCTTACCCAATGCCCGACCTCAACACGCTGATACGTCAGATGAGAGGGGCAAAAGTGTTCAGCGTCCTTGACCTTAAGTCAGGGTACTGGCAAGTACCACTTAAACAGGACGCGCGAAAATACACGGCATTCCGGACGCGTCGGGGCCTATACCAATTCCGAGTCCTCCCCTTCGGCCTCAAAAACAGCCCCATGACCTTTGTGCGACTAATGGACGAAGTCTTGAGGGGGTACCTGGACGAGTTCGTCCGCGTATATCTAGACGATATAGTGGTGTTTTCGAACACTACGGATGAACACCAGTGCCACTTAGACAAAGTTTTAGAACGTCTACAGAGACACGGGCTGACATGCAACCCCGAGAAATGCAGATTCGGAGCGACCGAAATCTCATTTCTTGGACATCTAGTCACCTCCGACGGTATAGACAAACAACCGGAGAAACTAGAGGGCATCATTAACTACCCCCCACCAACAAAGCTGAGGGACCTACGGAAATTCCTGGGCGTCTGCAACTGGTACAGCCAGTTTGTCGACAACTACGCGGACACCATAGCGCCCCTAACAAATAGACTCAAACAGGGAACCAAATGGTCGTGGACCGAAACCGAACAGGCGGCATTTACCAAAATAAAACGCGCCCTGTACGATTCGCCTAAACTATCGACGCCGGATTACGGAAAACCGTTTTGCCTACAGACCGATGCTAGCGAGATAGGAGCGGGTGCCGTCCTTTTCCAACGGGGTGACAGCCCGGACGAAAGGCGGATAATCGCCTACGCAAGCAAAAAGTTTAGTGATACGCAAACAAGGTACGCCGCGGTAGAACGCGAGTGCCTCGCGATAATCTGGGCAACCGATAAGTTTAGACCATACCTGGAGGCACGCCGGTTTGACCTATACACAGACAACTCAGCACTCACGTGGCTCCACCGAGCCAAAAACACAAACTCAAAATTAACCAGGTGGGCACTACAGCTGGCCAACCTGGATTACAAAACCACGCATGTGCCCGGCGTACAGAACGAAGCGCCGGACATGCTCTCCCGCAACCCGACTACCGGGCCCCCGGTAGACGAGGAACACCTCGAGGAACGACTAGTAGGAGTACCCACCTCACCACTCGTCACCACTACTAGTACACCGGCCGACAATCTGTTCGCCACGACGAACCCGGCTAACACCACTAGTCACCCCACAATCACACACGCTATGCTCGTGACATGGCAGGCCAATGACCCCAACACACGAGACATAACGCACAACATGACAACGGACGACCCAGCGCGCAATACCGGAGGTACCTCGGAAAAAAACAAACAATTCATTTTTACCGACGGTCTTCTCCGGATAAGTTTGGGCGAACACACACCCGTAGTCATCCCAAAAACCAACACGCAGAACGTGATCTGGACTTACCACGATCACGTACTCGCAAACCACCCGGGCTGGAAAGAAACGTACAGGGCGGTCAAACAACGTTTTTTTTGGAAAGGACAAAAAAACGACATCCGACTGTACGTCAAGTCGTGTCACATATGCGCGTGTACCAAACCACTAAACACGCGCGCAGACGGCCCCGCGACCACCAGAGTACCCCGACACCCCTGGGAGGTGGTAAGCATAGACCTCATGGGCCCCTACCCGCGCACGAGTAGGGGAAAACAATATATACTGGTCGCCACGGATTTGTTTAGTAGGTGGACCGAGGCATACCCCCTCGGAACAGCCACTACAAAAGCAATAACCGAAACGCTCGAACGAGAATTCTTTTCACGTTTCGGATACCCCCGTGTGTGCTTAAGCGACAACGGCCCACAGTTCGTAGCAAACGATATGCGTAAAGCGATCGAACAGTGGGGAGCCGAGGGCTGGACAACTCCGGTATATCACCCGAGGGCCAACCCAGTCGAACGCCGTAACCAGGAATTAAAAAAAGGTCTACGCGCGCTACTCGCCAATGGCAACCACAACACCTGGGACACCAAATTAGCCCCCATACTATTTTCGATCAGGAACAGGCGCAACGACCGGACAGGATACCCACCGTCGGTACTCGTCCTCGGGAGAGAGGGCAAAAGGCCTGGGGACTGGATACTGTCGCGGACAGCGGAAAACCCGATCGAACAAATAAATATGGACAGGGCTAGGCGCGAAAACAATGTACTTACCGCACCACCGGCAACAGGTGGCCCGACGGACACAAAGTACAAAACAGGTGACACGGTGTACTACAAGGCACACCACCTGTCAAGCGCGCACAAAAAGTTTCACGCCGGCTTCGCACCGAAATGGTGGGGACCGGTGAAACTACACAAACGCGTAGGCAAAGGGGTGTTCATCACAGACCAACAGCCGGCACGCAAAATACACGTGTCCTGCCTCAAACGGGCGAACACAACAGGGCCCCAACAACCACCACCCAAACCCCCCACACCATAAACACTCAATAGCATCTTTATGTACTCAATTTCAGTCGGCTTAGCATCACACCACCAAATGGACCAACCACAACGGCCGGCCACACCCTCCACCCTCCAACAAGCGGCGGCACTTCTGGAACGCAGCCAGGAGCTGCTGAGGGCAGCCACTTTGGAGGAGGGCACGACAGTCACCACGGCGGCCAGGGTATGGCGGATGACCAATGCCCAACTCCAGCGGGACCCGGTACTGTGGGCGGCCTACCAACGAGGGTGGGAGGACCGCACCGCCGTGTTCCAAAGGGCGACAAGCGGCGCACCCACGGCGGCCGCACGACACACCAGGTCGCGAAGCCCCAGACGGGTGGCACAGCTACCGGCCAGCAACCAAAAGTCGCAGCCACGGACGCTGACGCGGGCACCCGAGAGGCCACCACCAAGGCCGCTGATGGAGTGGCCAGCTCCAGCTCCGAGGACAGCGACCAGGCCATCAGCAACACCCACCTTCAAGCCGCCGCCACCCCCGACACAAGCGGCAACCGCACCGGCAACACCACCAGCAGTAACGCTGAACGCCCGCCAACGCCGGAACCAGCAGCGGAAGCGGGACCACCACAGGGCCAAACAGCAACAGGCATCCCAACAACACCGCCTGGAAAAGCCGGCACCACCCCCAGCCCCAGGCCCAGAGACGGTCCTGTCACAGCCAGGGCCAGCGTCCCCGCACCTCACCGTGGTCACGGTACCGGAAGTGACACACACTTCCGGAGCGACCGGAGCCACGGATCAACTAGCGGCTGCCACCCCTCAACCCGAGGATATGGAAATATCCCCGGAGGAGGAGGCACAGCTGTTAGGAGGTACGGGCACACACCTGGCTGACCAAGAGGACATGGACGTCAGTCTACTGTACTACAGCCCCCCCACATCGCCGAAACGCGATTAGACACCGCCAGGGCTACGTCCGCTGAACACAGCCGGAAAACGTACCCTCGGACAGGTGTCTACCACAACCACCATCCACCCACTGACCCACCACAACCACCCACCACTCATGACAACGCAGACCGCTGGCAACGGCCGGAAAACCAACGCCGTTGGCGGTTTGGGGGGGAGTATGACGCGGTCCCGCGCAAAATCTGTTTGAATTCAAACAGCCTTTGCGCGGAAGCCGCGCCGCGGCTTCTCAATCAAACCGCCAACCGACGACGGACGACGCCGGCGCGCGACACGCGCGCCTGGAATCGTCGGCCGGCCGTCCAGCGAACCGGATCGCCAAGGCGCGCTCTCTCGTCCTCACGACTCCGACACGGAAAGACCTACCCACGTTTTCCGTGAACCCGATACCTTTGAAATACCGTTATACTGAACGTATATTTTTCTTGGTTTGTTTTAGTTCTTAATAATAAAACTCGGTCACACTAGTGCGTTTTCGTTTGTTGTTATTTTGTGATTGATCACTTCGTTTTGGTTTATTTCGACCCGACGATCCTCGGTCGGTCACCACCATCACCTATTCACCTCACAACACCACGCGGCTCAATACAAGTCCGCGTCAAAATGTTCAATGAAAATTTTAAATCCCTACAGTTACTAATTTTCGAGTTAAAATCAAAAAAATTGTTATATTTTTATCGGCCCAGTTCGACCTCTGAGTTCACGTGATATTGTGTTTGCAAGCACGCGTGCTTGGAGATCGTGTCCCGACGGCAAATGCTTACGGGACATTGCAAACACTCGAACGGTTTTCTCCGGTGTGTGTCCGCTAGTATCTGATCGGGTCGTCGGACCGTGAAAGCGATATTCCACACTCGCGGCACGTGTACCGCTGCTTGACGTGCATGACGTGCCGCATGAGCATCTCTGGGCGACCAGTTGCACTCCTCACACGGGTATACGCCATGGCCGAGCAGACGGGCATGTCCTCGACCACGGGCGGCACTTACAGGTTGTACCAAACGGCTTGCCATAAGCCGACACGTTGAGTGGCGATTCTTGGGGTGGTTGTTCGAACGTGTACAATATGGAACCACCCATCAGCAATGGCAGCGACAAGGGCTTGACGGGTTGCTGTGGCAGGCGCCACTGGTGAGGTAAGATCCCTCACCGCTCCTCACCGCTCCGTCAACCACTGCTCCGGTGCTAACTCACCCACAGTCCATAGCAGGAGCAGGAACAGCACCTGCAACAGCAGCCCATCGCTCCCATGTCAATGGTATTGCTGTTGGCCGGTTCCATATTTTACACGTTCGATCAACCGCCCCAAGACTCGCCACTCGACCTGTCCACGAAGACATGTTGACCGGGTCCATGGTATACACGTATCGACGACCACCACACAAATTTCCTTGACTTGACCCTGAAGACGTCGGCCAAGGCGTACCAGTGCGAGGTGTGCAACTGGTCGTTCGGGTGCAAAAATAAGCTCACTCGGTACACGGGGGTTCTCGCGGTCAGACCAACTGATCAGGCACAAACGCACACACACCTGAGAAAACCGTTCAAGTGTCCGCAATGCCAATATGCAGTTCGCTTGCACGGGGAAATGATCTCCAAGCCCACAACACACACAATATTGTATAACAAGTTTTTTTTATTTTTATTTTAAAATTAGTAACTTTTGGTGACTTAAAATGTTCATTGAACGTTCATTATATTAGCATTTAATATAAATTCAATAATATTTATTCTTTCTATGTGTGACACAATTTTTATTTTGGGGTAAAGAGCTTATGAACAAATAATAAAGCCCCTGCAGTGTTCGGCTTTGGTCGCTTCGAACCACATAGGAACATCGGAGTCGGAGAATGTCGGGCAGGTATAGTCAGGACCACCTGTATTGGTCAAACGTGTACTTGAAAACCGGCTAACAACAAAGCCAGCGACATGGTAGTGACGGTCCGCTGTTGCTGATGCTGCTGCGAGGGCCGTAGACGGAGACTGCAGTTGGTGCCGGGGTGGTAAGATGCCTTCGCCGCCGCAGAACATGCAGTCAATCTTCGGGTACATAGTGATGCAGCGGGGGCGGTGGCGGTGGGGGATTCTGTTGTTGCGGTGGTTGCTCGGTAATCGGTTGGTACAGCACTGTTGAGACCTGTTGCATGACGACGACCTGGTTGGACTGAACTGAGTATCCTCGTAGTCTTTGCACAACGACGACCACATGACTAAAATTTTTATTCCGTATTTAAATGTTTAATTTTGTGAATAATTTGCTTATAAAGAAAATGAATGTACACTAAGATGTCACATAGTGATTTCTGAGCTATTAGAATTTGTAACAACAAAAATAAATAAATATTTGACTGCCATAGGAGTTATTGTATGCTAAGGGGTATCGATTTCTTACAGGCACGTAGTTCGTTTTATATACCATTATTGGGAAAAAGTATAAATACAATAAATCCTAATCAGTATTAGTATTTAATTCATGGTTGTTGAGTTTAAAAGTTTAAAACAACTTGTTCATTGTTTAAAACGAATAAAACATAATATTATATTATGTTTAAAACAATGTAAAATCCAAGTGAATATTGTGTTTTATTTTTTGTTTTTTTTAATAATAATAATAAATAACAATAATATTAATAAATAACAATAGAAATCTTTCAGAAAAAAAGTTAAAGTAACTACTAAATAATTAAATCCAATACCTGCCATAATTAATCTTAATTTTTTTTTTCTATTTTATTGTATAAATTACCAAATTTAAAAGGTTTTTACTTGATAGTTAATAATATAATAATAATTATATATAATTTCTATATAAAAAATCTATTCAGAAAATATTTAAAATACATTTAATAGTCTATTGTGTGGGAAGGGTGGGAAATGAGATATTTCAGTTGCGGACGACGCGCGACGTGTGCGGCACGAACCGTAGGCGAGGGCCGAATTTCGCACAAGCATGAAATACGTGGTGAATACGTTAATCTGTTCAACTGTGATTTGAATCTAACGCAGATGCACAGCGGCCCTTAAGGTTAGGTTAGGCCCTTACTTTGTAAAGTATTCGAATAAATGTATTCGAATAAAAGTATTTGAATACTCTTTTTGTATTCGAATACTATTCTAAATACGTATTCTGAATACTTTTATTTGTATTTTTTATTCATTAAAAAAAATACTTTTTCCCATCCAGTAAAATAGTTTTAAATTTGTGACAAGACATATATTATAAATCATGAACATTAATTTTATTCTTTGAAAGAAATATAATTTTGACCCATGATATGATTATTTTTATAAATACCAATGTGTTTTATCACGTATAGTTCGTATCGGCCGTATCATATATGGTCAAAATTTATAAATAGCTTATGATAACAAAGTAATTTTAATTACTAATTAATAAATGTTAATTAGTAATTACCAACCATTCAAAAACTGACAACAATTATTTGTGAAAAAAAGTATTCTAATAGTATTCGAATACTTTTTAAAGTATTCGAATATGTATTCTGAATATATTTTTTAAGAACTACTCGAATACGTATTCTGAATACCTTAATTCTCATTTATTCGAATATGTATTCCGAATACAAAATAAAAGTATTCTTTACAAGGCTGCCCTTAAGTGAGCTATTTCAGTCGCGAGCCACACATACTATTTTTTGTCACACCTCCGCATTCACCGATCACGTCAAAGGTAATGCAGGGATCTATGTAACAACTAGACCATAATTATAGGACAATAATATTTCATGAAAGAAACGATTTGGTTTTATTTATTTTAAGTGTCACGCGTATGGAGGTTATAATATTTTGAATATAAGATGTAATCAAAAGTTTTTGTTTTGTAAGGACCGCGGTATAGATTCCAGTGTCTGGTTATGCGGGGGATACGCGTTTGATATGTGCACCAAGCAACTTTGGGGGATATCCACTTTACCGTCTGTTGGATGGAAAAAGAAAGATTTTCAAAGCTTCAACCACTATCGAAATCAAACTTTCGGTGCAGGCGTGAAAAAAAAAATACTTTTAAAATTCAAAATAAGTAATAAATAAACAGTGAAACATATACTAGTAACGGCATATAGACATAGGTATAATTAAATTATAATAATTAAATAAAAATGTATTATAAATAAAATAAAACAATTAAATTATTATATTAGCTAATTATTATTTTTATGAATTAAATTATATTTTAAATTAAAATTAAGTTATTTTAAAACTCAAACAAATTATTTAGTTTAAAACATCGTTTAAAAAAAGTACACCAACTCTGGTACTTTTCATTAAGTGATCATTTGTGAACAATAACATTTTTAATTAATATTGAAATATTGAGCTTCTTTATTTTTTAGTTTCATAATAAACTAAATGTGAGAAACCTCGTTTTAAATTTTCAATCTTTAGCTATGAAAAATTAACACAGGAAAAAAACATTTTATTGACATTTATAGAAAAAATAAAAAAATAACACAAATTTAAAATTGCAAATGTTTATAAATAGCCCAAATTACAAGTCATAATTTTGAAATTGAAAATGATACAGTGAAACTAAAATATTACTTATCACAAATTTCGCTACTGTCCTCTCAAGAATACGATAAAGCAATGCGAAAAGAAAATTGTGAAAAATTCGACCCACAAAATATTAGTGTGCAGAGTTGAATAGACATGTTTATAATAATATTATTATGTTCATATATTATATAAGTACGTATTTTACTATACAATATTTTCTGTTTTTACTTGACCTTAGAAAAATGTTTTTCTATACAATATAGATATATATTATAAATTTTAAAATATGTGCTGCGATAAAATCTATGAATTGAATGACAGCATTTGAAAATAATAATATATTTTTTTAAATATTATCAGTACCTATCTGAATGCTGTCCGCTTGACAGTGCCGAAAAAATTCAAAAACCGTCTCAATTCAATTATATTTCATATTGATATCGAAGCTCTAATTTATTATTAAATTTGTGAAACCCGTTTCGCTCAGAACCACTCGAGCCCAAATAAGACAATATTTTATGTTCCGTGGCGATTTTATTATTTTTATTTTATTGTTACACAAATTTATTTAAGTTTGAAAAACATAACAATATTATAATGTTTTTTGTATTTAAAGACAATAATACAAACATTTATTTGCTTCTTTAATGTAGTGCGTAATTACGCGGTAGCCAACAATATTAAGTCATAGACCATGTGACTAATGTGAGTTACTTTAAATTCGTTAGCTTTAAATGAACGTACTCATATAAATATAATCAACATTTAAAATTTAACTTTTACTCAAAACCGTATTGACATTACCTACACCAAACCCCTTATAACCAGGTCCTACCCAATAAAGATGAGGGAGGTTTTCCAAAACCGGATATAAGGTATAATTAAAAAAATATATATTGACCAAAATGTATGTATACCTTAGGCGCGGTGGTGGTCACCACGTTGAAGTTTACACCGACGACGATGATTGTTGCTGATTTTGTTCCGATTTCAAGTAACGTTAAAATACCGTCTGCTCGCCATTTGTGACAATGACGTTTTCGTCTATACCTACCACTGCTGCTGCTGCTGCTGTCATCGCTGACTGAAAAATATTGAATAATTATTTAATTACCATAATATGTATTAGGTGTGTGTGAGATCAATAGTGAAATTTAATACGAAATGTATGCTCAATCTCTATGATCTATTTATATTGCACATTTGAAAGTGTCGATATTTTTCTGTATAATTGTCAATAAAAATCATTCGTTCTGCCAAAAAATTTAAAAGTTTAACAACATACGTAGCTATAAGGCTGTTAAAAATATTAAAGGTACTCTCGAGTTCCTCATAAGTAATTTATATTGAAACCAAAAAATTTAAAAATATTTGAATATCATTTATTAACTAAATTTGGACGAAATTTAAATAAAAAATAAACTATTTAAGTTATTTTTTTATAATTCAAGAATATTTATAGGGACTTTCAAATGCAATATTTTTGGGGAAAATTAATTTAACCTATCTTATTTATAATAGTAAAATAAATTACTTTAATAGTAGGTAGTATAAATTGTAGAATAATATCATAAAATATACTTAGTAATAATATAGGCTGACGGACATTTAAATATAATTTAACACATATTATGTACATATCATGTAACATGTTTAAATGTTTGATAAAATATTACTATGCAAATTTAATATAGCGTTATCTGGACGATAAATGTTCAATGTTTTAGTCAGTCGACGACATAGGTATTTAATTGGACTTTATATTTAATTAACTGCTCTTATCTAGGTACAATTTCTCTATTTCTATTGGAGTATAACATAACGAGTAAAGTGACTTACCCAACATTGCAGTTCATGCCCAAAGCTCGGATACTGTGGTGGTTGCCGAAGCCTATTTTTCCTCTGTGGTCACACCGCAATTGTCAGGCTTTTGTAAATCAGAATTCGTACGACCATATGGAATTATGGAAGCTTGGAAGCTTTCTTTTTATTATGTAGGTACTATAATAGCGTCCACTGTTGGTTTTACGGAAATAAATGTCATAATAATTTCAGGTCTTTGATATATTACATAAGTATAATTTATATAAACGTACCTTTTATTTAATTTGTTCTCTCGCTTCGTGCTGGTTAAAAATTTAACGAACTGTTGGGTATCGGTTTTGATTGTAAATTATTAATTATTATTGTTATAACTTTAGCTGCAATGTCGATGGTCTTCCGAATTATGATTCACAAAAGCTTGAAAATTGCACAGCGACGATCACAGAGGAAGAATGTTCGTTCAACAAAAACTATTTGGTGTCAATAAGACCTGTCGACCGTATTTATATTATGAAACTCGACCACACCCGCTTCCCAGAACCCCTCCACACACCACTATCGGGTGTGTTGTAAATAATATTTTGAATCAAAATATCTTAGAACTCGTATCATTTTTCATATCTTCGGAATGAAATAACATTTTAAAATTCCATACATTTGTTTTATAAGATAATATGACACAATTTCATGTAATTAATAATTATAATTTCCGCATTTTACATGTAAATTTATACGTCATAGCTATACCATCATATCCAAAATTAAGCGTATATAGTTTTATACACTCGAACTTGGGAACAACATATTTTTAATACGATTACCTATCAAAATTATTTCTTAACAAATGTATTAGGTATTTTACTGTTATCATTCCGCCGTGGTTCCAAATCGAAATTTAAATACTTTTCGTTTGTATAAAATACTATAGGTAACTGCACCATATAGGCAACATGACCACCTGTTCACGTGACACAATGAATAATATCTAATTGTGTGCGTGGAAATATATTTGTATATCGAAAGGGCTCAGCCCGCTTAGTCAAAGTAAATTAATAAATAAATAATTATATGTTACATTGTTAAAATATCCATAACTTGTTTTAAAAATAAAATACAAATATAATAAATGTTCTTTTGTATATTTAGCTTATGCTTATAGTAAAAATTGATAACAATTTATCATAGTAATATTAATTATTAAATTAAATTAAATATGTAAATTATTGATTTATAGTACGTCAAACCCGTTTCCATTTACAACGATCGAAGACAAACTTCTTTGAAAAAAGAGTATACATTATGAGTACACATTACTTTAGTGGCTGTAATTAAAATTCTTCAACTATCAACAATGGAAATAATTGATGAAGACTTTTAAATTAGGTATATTTGATAGGTACATATTTCCTGTAACGTGTGTACTTATTTTTCCAGTGTTTCCCTCCACCACCCATCAGAAAGTAATTAGTTACTTTATTTAACCAAAAAAAACTCTACCTATACACTGGGAAGTTATGTTTGTGGATAAAATTATTTTGTCGATGACTAATTTAAGAAAACTTTATTTTTAAATTTTATAAAAGATTAGTAGGTACCTATTTAAAATCATTATAAATTATACTATCATATTTTCATATTTGTCTTATTGATAATTTATATGTATTTTAAAATTTAGAAATATATGATTAATGTAGTCATGTGTAATAGTTTTTTTTAATTCTACGTTTTGAACCTCAAACTTAATAATTTATATAATTTGTTTCATAAAAGTAAATGGTAAGTACTACTTGTGGCTTATTGTGGGCTCAAATGTAGTATTATCAACTTATCTTTAACAAACTTCTATTTGACAAAACTTATTATAACAACAAAATTTACATATTTAGGATAATTTAAATTAATTTTAGATTCTGAGTGAAACGATGAATGTATTGGTTTTACAATGGTGTGTGGTTTTTTTTTTATTTTTTATTTTTTATTTTTTTTTTGTGTCTGTCATCACGTTTTTGGACAGTAAAAGTGCTTGGATTTTCTTCAACAGTAGCTTTTCTGATAGGAAAGTGAATCTAGTTGGTACTTTGGGGGGTCAAAAGTATAAATTTCCCAGTAGTTTTCACAAGGAAAAACGGGAATTTTTACGTAAAATCTGTTTTCGAGAAAATCGATTTTGGTTTTTGGTGTAACTCTAAAAGAAACGTATATAACGTACTCTAAAAGGAACGTATATACATGAAATTTTCACTGGTTGTTTATATTTGCATTTTATATACACGATAACGTTTTCAAAATATTTTGATTTATTTTGAACTATTTAGGGACATTTTCATTTTCCATTTTTTTTTAGTTTTTTTTCTAAAAATATCAATAAAATTATATTTGTTGGTTGCGAAAGCTTGAAAATTTAATAGAATGCTCCTAATATATTGTTTCAAAGGGAGATGAAAAATATTAAAAATACTTAGTCACAATTTTTTATTATAAGCATTTAAAGTTCAAAAATTGTAAAAATATGGAAAAATCACGAAAATTAGCGAATTATTTTGAGTTAAGAATACGTAAAAATTTTTCTTTTTAAATCTAATATTTGAAAATGTAACACAAGATTACTCATAAGTTTGTCTACCTTTATCAATAAAAAAATCTCTACCGGAAAGTCAAATTAAATTTTTATGAGCGTTTGAAATTCAAATTTTTACAACATTGGATGTTCACTCGATTTCTCATGTAGCGATTTCCTTATTTTGTTGTAATTCAAAAACGAATAACTAAAGATACATGAAAATTTCACTGAATGTTTATATTAGCATTTCCTATACACCATACAATTTTGAAAATATTTTGACTCTTTTTGAGCTGTTTATGGACATTTGCAGCTTTCAATTTTTTTTAGTTTTTTTTCCTATAAATATCAATAAAGTTTTATCTGTTGGGCCAAAAAGTGTAAAAATTTAATACAAGGCTCCTGATATATTGTTACAATATCAGTTGAAAAATATTAAACATACATAGGCACAGTTTTTTTTTATAAGGATTTAAAGATCAAATTTTGACAAAATTTATCAAAATCTCGAAAATTATCAATCATTGTAATTAATAAATTATAAAATGTTCAGTTTTTATAGCTAAGGATTACAAATTCAACACAAAGGTTCTCATAAAAAGTTCATACTATAACCAAAAAATCGTGTACTATTATATATCTATGATAGTATCACGGTTTTTGATGATGTATAACGCTTATAAGTACTTAATGGATATTGTGATATGATTAATTTGGAATTTATTATAGGTCAATTTTTTTTTAATAGAAGAGCGACACCCACTTGCCCACCTTTTTTTAGTTTTTTTTCTAAAAATATCAATACAATTTTATTTGTTGGTTTCGAAATCTTGAAAATTTAATAGAAGGCTCCTAGTATATTGTTTAAAAGGCAGATGAAAAATATTAAAAATCTTTAGTCAGAATTCGTGAAAATTTTTCTTTTTGAATCTAAGATTTGAAAATGTAATACAAGATTACTCATAAGATTATCTACCTTTATTAAAAAAAAAAATGTCTATAAGAAAGTCAAATTAAATGTTTATGAGCATTTGAAATTCAAATTTTTACAACATTGGATATTCACTCGATTTCTCATGTCGCGATTTCCTTATTTTATTTTATTATTTTTTAGCTGTTTACAGACATTTCCATTTTCCAATTTTTATAGTATTTTATTCTATAAACATCAATCAAGTTTTATCTGTTGGGCCAAAACGTGTAAAAATTGAATACAATGCTCCTGATATATTGTTACAATATCAGTTGATAAATATTAAAAATACATTGGCACAATTTTTTTTTATAATCATTTAAAGATCACATTTTGACAAAAGTTATCAAATTTAAAATTGAATAATTATTTTGTAGTTAAAAATTTATAAAATGTTCAACTTTTATATCTAAGGATTGAAAATTTAAAACAAGTTTCCACGTAAGTAGTTAATCCTGTTACCAAAAAGTCTAAAAAATACAAAATCACAGTTTATTTTTATATTAATTTTAAGTTCATATTAACTTAACCATAAATAACCTAGAATAACTATTTTAGTTATTTTGTTGTGATTGTATAATATTATTCGTGGATACTTGAAACTTCTAATGTGCACTATTATATATCTATGATAGCATCATGGTTTGTTGTTGATGTATTACGCGTTATAAGTACTTACCTAATGGATATTGTGATATGATTAATTTGGAATTTATTATAGGTACCTATTATAATTCAATTTTTTTTTTAATACCATAGATATGTATATAATATGTCTTAAACCTAGACTGGCATACCATCTCTGCTCAAAAAATTGTTTTTCTTATACAATGATTTTTTATCATTTAATTTAAATTTAATACCATCCATTATACAGTGACCCACTTGTAACCTACAGTACAGCAGAGCACCTTTTTTAAATTTAACGTCATTGACTTTTATAATACTATCCTATATTATAGAGAACTAAATTAGTTCTTAAAAACTGCTTCATTTTATTTGAAAGCCATAATATTAATGATTTATGGTTTATGTTCAATACTATTACGATAACACGGCGTTTTGGGTAGGCTATTTTGCTACATCATTGCCGTGGATTTAATTTTTCGATATATTATATTCTTTGAGTTAAAATTAACTTTATATAATATTATAGAAATATTAGAAGCTGCGATTACTATAATATTTATATTATTTATATTATAAAAGTCCAGGGTTTTTTTTTTTTAAATTATAATTTTAAGTTAATATTCTGATCGCATTAAGAGATAAAACAAACAAATAATTATGTCAACAAAATAAAACCATAAGTTTTGCACATTCTGGTATTATCAAATTATAATCATAACCATTTTTGTGTTTCAGCTAAAAATAAATTGAAGAAGCTAATGATCATCGTGCTTAAGCTGTTCAAACTGATACTCCTGCTTTTCCTGCCGCTCATCCTGGGTCTGGCGTCGTTCAAGAAGGTACTTGGCTTCCTTTCACTGGTCTTTCTAGGTCTCATCGGGCTCTTCAAACTGTGCAAGCCTGACCTCCAGCACAACTACGGCACGTTCGGGCACAGCAGCTACTATCACAGGCCGTCCAACGGCGGTGGACCTCTACCCCAGTCCGGACCCGTGTACTCGCCGTACCGCGACCACCAGGAAGCGCAGTACCACCGTGAACACTTGGAACAACCACAGTATCACCGTGAACATCCGGTAGATCCGCAACAGTATCTGTACGAGTCAGCCGACGCGCAGCCGTACAACAGCCGGCCAGCTCGGAACCAGCAGGACGCCAAAGTACCGTCTTCCGGTTCAGTCGCGTTCAAGGAAGAGGCCAACGACATGGCGTACAACGGTTAGAACAGGCAGCAGCGGCGATAAAACCATACAAATATAATATTATATCCGTGGCCACTGCACAGTAATCGTTATCGCAGGCTATCCATATTCCATATGTACATAGATCACTCGATCCTCTCAAACCACTTCACTGTCGCGCCCTCTATCTGTTACTCGTCACTCTGTACTCAAGCAAATCTACAACTCTCCTCTGCTGTATAAAAACATAATATTATTATATATTGTACGACGCACGCCCCGACATCGCGATATTTATAATATTTAATACTAGACATTACGAATCATCGGGAAATTTCGAATTTTGCAACTATATATTTTTTATCCTTGCGTCTACAGGCTAGATTTACTATTTTTACTACGAGTCGATTTGCGTCGAGACGATTTTTAGAAGTCGTGCGCGGTTTCAATACGCAATACCAATACTCGTAGTTCCTCGTAATCGCGACGAGATAAATATATTTCACTGTTTATTGTGACAGTCGTGGTATATCATATCAACTATAATAATGAGTATAATTAAAACATAATTATTATTATAAGCCTTAATATTATTTTTTTTTATATATTTTTGCGCAGTGTGACAACAGTAGGTGATATTTTATATAATTTAATTAGATTTTGTATTTTATTGTAAATGTATATATATTTTTGTAATTATGTAACCAGAATATAATATTTTCAATACCATAAAACCCAACTGATTCAAGTATAATAATAATAATTAATAATATATATAATGTAGCACACGTTATTGTGTCAACTATATACTATTAAAAAGTATAAACTATATAAACATGCTGCATCTTTATATTTATAGTCTTATTGATGGAGCTTGTGAAAACTATTGGGAATTTTGACCTCCCGAATTCACCAACTAAATTCACTTTCCAATCGAACAAGATACTGAAGTTGAAAATCGAAGCATTATTTCGACTACTTATCGAGTACACAGACACAAAAATAAAAAAAAAACACACATCATTGTAAAATCAATACATTCATCGTTTCACTCAGAATCTAAAAACGGATTGTAACATTATAGTCGGAATGGGGTGCTCTATAAACAGTACAAACAAAACATTGATAACATAAAAATCTGATAAAATTATTTTGAATTTTGTTTAAATCTTTGATATGTGTTACTAAATATGGATGCCACATTAGGATGGCATAATCAAAGTGCGAATGGATTAACGAGTAGTATAATATTTTTAATGCAGATTCATTTCTAAAATTTCTACAGGTTCGTTTTAGAAAACCTAACTTTGCTGACGCTTTATTCCTAATATAAAGTATATGGTCCTTGATGATAGTTTGGAGTCAAATTTTACCCCAAGATCGTGTACCGTAGACACTCTTAATAAATTTATATTACCCAAAGAATAATTAAATTGATGTTCATTTCCCTAGCTTTTAAATTTCGGAACCGAACCAAGGGCATTCGATTGTTCTTCGTTTGTTCTTGTTTGTTCCGAAAATTTCGTCGTTTGTTCCACCATTGTTTCCAACTTATAGCCAATTTAAGGGGGGGCAGGGAAATGCCTGCACCCCCACTTTTGAATTTCGGAACTGAACCGGGGGATTTCGATTGTTCTTCGTTTGTTCTTGTTTGTTCCGAAAATTTCGCCGTTTGTTCCATCACCGTTCCTGACTTATAGCCGATTATCCCTAGAAATTCCAGAGAAATGAGCCGTAGTTTAATTTAAGCCCCATCATTTCTTAAATATATTCATTATATATATTATACATATGCATACTATAAGAAAAAATATACTAATATGTAATATAAATATTAATGTAATTAATAAATAATTTATATTATATGTATCAATGTATTAATATAATAAATAAAAATATTATTTTAATATTTCAATTATTCATGTGCCCTCAAAAATGTTTTTCAGTACCATGGATTTGTCATCCCTGAAGCTTAAGCACATGTAGAAAACAGTATTATAAAACCTCTGTCAGAATGAGAGGCTCTGATAAAAACAGTGTTTCTCTAATTCACATTCTGGTACTCTTTCCTCTATTTTGTTGATAATATGTAGTATCCATTCTATCAAATATTTAAGTGCCAAAGTGACTAAGTATTTTAATAAATGTTTTAATTTTTTTACATACAAAAAGTAGGCTAACATAAAAGACCTGTAACTACAAAAAAATAAATATGTAGTTTAAAAAAACCTGTATTTAATAAAAAAAAGATTTTTTAATTTCATGTAGATTTTTTTACTAAACTTAACATTTTTATTTAACTTTGGCTTTTTTATTCCATTTAAAATTTTTTTCTTATAAATAGATATTGAGTGAAGATATTCCTTATAGGCAGGCAGTAGGTAGCCTACTGTTCTTATCACAGGTAACAAGACCAGATATAGCATATGCAGTAAGCTTATTGCTAGTCGTTATTTAGCAAAACCAACTTAAGTTCATTGGAACTTGGTAAAACGGATTATACAATGTGTCAAACGGACATTTAATTATGGCTTGTATTTTAATAATAATACACAATTGGCATTAGAAATATTTAGTGATGCAGATTAAGCAGGATACGTTCAGACATGACGTTCATGACGCGACTGTCATCGATAGAGGCTGAATATATTTCGGGTAGTAAAGCTGTCAAGGGCATCATGTGGATTACACAGTTGATAATAAGCTTATCAACAACAGGTGGCAAACAACCAGTATTATACATTGATAATCAAAGTGCTATACGTTTATAGTTAAGGATTCGGTGTTTCATAAGAGGACAAAACACATTGACGTACGATACCACTTCATACGGGAGAAATACGAAGAAGGACAATTTCAACTACTGTACATCGGGACAGATGAATAGAGAGAGGACATCCTAACCAAGCCTTTGGTAAATGAACGATTCGAGAAACTACGGTCAGCCATAGGAGTGACTACAATTAAAGAAATTATTAATGGAAGGAGGGTGTTGAAATATACAATTAATATATGTAGTCAGCCTTGACACGGGTGTACAATTTAGTAACTAGTAATACCAGTGTAAGACTCACTTTCTTTAAGGATGTAACATGACCTCGGTCGTGCATATATATAGGGCCTTTGAAGTATGTAATACTAACTTGCACAGGTTCCGTCGTACAGTGAGTATAAGGTATGTATGTACAGTCACAGTTTAATTGTCCAGTTGTACGTTATTATATATTATACTTATACATAATCATATTGTCGTGTTATTACTTATTACATTAATACTAAAGTCATAGGTCCGTCAAGCTTTACTTTCAACAGTATTGTATAATTTTTGGTTTCTCTAGACCAGCGGCTTTCAAACTTTTTAAACCTGCATACCACCAGCTACACAGTTTCCCAGTTACCCAGTTACAAAAATTTCCGGAAATTTACCTTTCACAAGTTATGGCATATCAAAGTTGCAGTAGATTACGCGTGTATCGGCACTCTTCCCTACGCTCCTCGGCGACGTAAACCACCTCAGGTAAGCCTCGGTTTCCTCAATATTGTTTCTAAGTACATTTATTGCAAGAGTGGTCACTCGATCGTCCATTCAAAAGTATATTTTATAATATCGACAACTTTGAATTGTCATAACTCTTCAACGGTAAGTTTCCGGAAATGTTTTCAAACACTTTTGAATTAAGCATAAAAAACCAATTATATTATAATTATTATTTTTAAATAGGATCAGAAAAAAATTAACTGTTATCGCGGATTAACTCTATGATAACGTTATTATATGATAAGCCAGATAAATGCCTTTACTGCGGGGAAGCGCTCGTTCTTACGGTCACGCTTTTTCGTTACGGAAATATTTTTTCAGTCACAACGACAGGCCCACGATAGAATCTATGCAATAGCTTAATAATCATAATAACAAGGTGAGATTAACAGAGAGAGAATAATAGACACATAAATAAATAATATAACATTAAATGATTTATGAATATAACGTAAATTAAGTATAATATTATAATAACATGTAATTCAACATAGAATCTAATAATGTTATAATAAAACATTCAAGGTAAAGGGATTGGTAACATCTTTACACGTCCTACTAATGAATCCTAGAATCAATGATGACTTTATAGAAATATTTAAATAATGTCTATTGAAACTTGAATGATAGAGTCGAACGTTCAGGTAACAAACAGAAAAAATCATAAATTTGCATTAAACAATAATAAAAAATATAATAAATACTTAGCTTACGACATAGTATTTTAATGATGGAGTTCCTTTAATTTATTTTGACACTATCATAGTGTAGGTAATACAAAATATTTCCATGGTTTACTTAAATGTAAAACGTACTTAATGTATGATAAATAATTACAACTGAAAGACGACCATACTAGATGTGAGATGATGCAATAATATACTAATTATACAAATATATAACAAATATACACTTTATAAAACGATTTAGATGTATGCTAAATTAAAAAATAAATACCTATAAGGCTTTGTTTTATCATTTGAAGATATGGATAAATATAAATTTAAATTATATTAGTAAATTACCCATAACCATTGATTGAAAAATATTTCATGGAAAAGTGTTAATCAACAGCGTCAATAACAATAAAATAAATAATAATCATTTAATATGTCTTTAGTTAACAGTCAAACTAGTTAAAATTTTTTTTCTAATTTAGGTTTTTGTTCCGTTATATTTAATTTCCAGGAGCCTACTATTTAATACTGTATAATTTTAATTCATTGATACTCAAAGTGTTATGTATATATGTATAAATATGTCATAATGTATATTCATTAATAGGTAATATATTGTAAAAGCTGTATGGCGCTTAAAATAAATAATATAAAATATGTTCTGTAGTATGTCTACGAACCAATGAATCGTACTTAATATTCGTATATATTGGTGCTTATTAATTATGTTGCGGCTACAGACAGTATACCATCTTTAATCGTACTTATTACATTTAAATTATCTTGTAAATAAAATTATTAATCAAAAAAAAATAGAATACATTTCA